CCACCAGGCTTTGTAGACAGTCACAGAACGTCAGAGATCACCGTCCCTGTAATTCTGAAAGGGACCTCTCCACACTGGTCTCTCTCTCTCTCTGGCCTTCCTGTCTTTTTAACCGTTCTCACCTAGAGGTACAGTAGTTATACCCTTTCTCCAAGTGGCCTTCCTTGGGCCCCTCTAACTACTTCTGATACAGTCACGTACTCAGGTTAATCAATCATTTGGCTTGGTGCCAGCCTGACTGAGTCTCCACGAGGTCTTCCCTTTCTCCTGTCTAAGATAGGAGATTGTTCAGTTTAGGGCTGTATCTGGTGCTTGTTATTTTGATATGTGGGATCATTACTGTCTTCCTTTTAAGTGAATGGTTATTTCTTATCAGTATCCCGGGATGGTACCAAAGGCCTCCAGTTTGAACAACTTGCTCGTTAGTTCGTTATTCTTGAGGGTTGCCTTCTCTCGCTTGGTAGGCCCTGTCAGAATCTAGAGACTTATTGCTAAGCTGAGATACTGTGTCGACCTGTACCTTGGACTGTTACCTCTGTAGGTTTTGTTGTTATTTACTGATAAGTGGTGACCTCCTGCTCTTTCCCAAGGCTGTCTTCAGAAACAGAGAAAAACAGATGTGTCCTACCCATGACTGTCACTATTTTCTCCATTCTACACTTGTTTAATATTTCATTATTACTAGACTATAACTTCTATATTCTAACATTATATTTGAATAAACTGAGTTAGCCACAAAACTTTATTGTCTGGTCTTTTGACTCGAACACTGGGAGTTGGGATACCAAAAATCTCCCTTCAGTATTTTCAACGTATTATATTGGGCTTTCCTTTAAATTTTCAATTGCATTCATTATGTTGTTACTGTGCAACTATATTCAAATGTACATAGAGACAGTGAGCATATTGTCTCCAGATAAAACAGAGAAACTACTTCTATGGCACTGAAGATTGAGAATTCACACCTACTGGAACAAACCTTTCATGGTTTCATTGTTTTAAAATTACCTTATGATTGGTATACATCTTCACTTCTAAGCCACAGTCTCTTCATTCTGGGATTTGCGTCCATTGTTGCTGGTTTTCCCCAATATCATGCCCAAAGTGGACCTTATTCTTTTGTAAGCACTGGCAATGAGTATCGACATCCTACTGGACTGCATAGGACATCACAAGGTATCTCCTCATCTGGCTGCCATTACCAATTTTTTTTGGTCAGTTAGCCATCATACACATGCAGAATCTCAATTGCATGCTTAGGATATCAAAACTAGACTTGGAGCTCCACCTACACATGGAAATCTCTGCCTGCAATAGAATGCACACTCTCCTCGGCGAGAGGCGTTCTGTTTACTCAGTTCCTGAGAATATTAGGTGCTTTAAGTGCTAGTATGCAAGACTTGTGGACCCCAGAGTGTGCATTTTGCGTTCACCACCTGGGATAGTGAGGGGATAATAAGTCAGGGTGCCTTCTCTTCATCATTACCCACTGACTCTTGCCAAAAAAACTGCATTTGTGTGGTCATCAGAGGCGAAAAATCCCATCAGGTCTCTAAGACCATTTTTATTGTCTCAGAGTGGGATTTGGAAGGTCAGTCTGGTGACAGGGATCCTTCCTATTCGACGACCATTTATTCCTACAAGAGAAAATCCCTAAGTGATAGGATGTTCCTCACTAAACAAACAATATGTAGCTTCCAAACAGCGTTTTCAATGGTACAGAACACAGTGTTAGCTGGTTAAAGTCCTTCATTGCCTCAAATGCATAACCCATGGCTCAGCTCTCATCAACGAGGAACACCATCTTATCTGAATTTAGTCAGTTAAGTCCTGTAGCTCAGTGGAGTCCTGTAGCTCAGTGGTTAAGCACTCGCTTTGCAAGCGAGAGACCTGAGTTCAGTTCCAGGCAGAGGGTGAGACCTTGGGCAAGTTTCCTTACTCCACACAGAGCCTAATAATAATCTCTCCAAAACCAAAAACAATAATAAATTGGTCATTTTCAATCTACGACTGTTTGTGGGACATTGCTGTGCGCAATTGGCTGCGCGTTCGCCCACAAATATACAGTCAATTCACTTTACAGTATATTCTGTGAAGCGCTTTGGGACGTCTTCCCGATGTGAAAAGCGCTATAACAAATGCAAGGATTATTAATATTATTATTAGTAGGCAGCTTATTTATTATTATTATTCTGTTGGTTTACTGCGTAAAACTGACTTACAAATGACGGCTAATTTTAAGAACTTTTCACAATTTTGCTTGATGTACATTAAAAATGTGTTTTCACTCTAATAATAGGTGGGATTTTAGGTCTTGGTCAGTACAGTATCCTGGACAATGCATGTTTATTTCTCTCCCGCACTCCCCCCGATGTTTTGCTGCATTTGTCTGTCAACTTGTATTGGGTTAAACTCGTCATAACTTCAAGGATCACATGTGCTTACAAACTGCCCTCAGACACAAACACAACTTCCTGAACCCTCAAAGACAGGAAGTCAAATGACACAGAAACGTTTTTTGCGGCAAAACATTTGTGCAGCCTTGTTGCAGATCAGCTTGTTACAGACCATCACGGTCAAAACTGCTCAGAATCATGAGAGGGGATGTTATGTTACTGTACCAATCTGTCTTTGTTTTTCTAATACTTATTAGTAATTTTTCGGTCAAAGTAACATTAATCCCAGAATGTGTGATTGCCATCAGAGAGACAAATATCACCTTCCTCTGCATCATTCTTTTTCTTCATCAAACATATTATTTGAGGACAGTTTATTTATACTCTTTGTATTCGGAAAACACCAAGAAGATAACCCCTTCTTCTTTTCTCCAATTGAACAATCCCAGTTTCTCACGCGCTCAAGTTTGATCAGCCTTAAATGCCAAGTAAGTGACCTGTTGCTCAACCCAGGGCTCCATGACTATGACCATTTCCGCTACTAATAGCAACATCAAGGTTGTGCACAATTCATGAAACATAGCCTGTTGAATATTTTGTGTGGAACTTCTAGGATTTAAAGTCTAATCCTCCAAAACATACATATATTTTGCTTTGCTGACCACCACCGAACACTATCCATGAGCATTATCCACAGATAGACTGAGGATGCTGTGCAATCAAAATTCCCATCAGATGATGTCTGGTGACATGTACAGTGAATCAAACTAGCAACTAGCTCATATCGACCAGTTTGACGCATTGTTTCTTCAGTACTAATGAAACAACACTTGGTACAGGCTAACTTAAAAGCAGGCCAACAAAGTGTGGCGCAATTCGTCCAACACAGTGCAAAAGTTGAAGCGTGGGCGTCGAACTTTTCACGTAATGGCTAAAAATACACCTAACATGAAACAACTCAGTATAAAAACACCAATCGTTCTGCTGTATTTGTAAATGTCAAAGGATAATTCCATTACAAGAGTCTCGCTCACTCACATTATATAGAGTGCATGGCTTATTAACATTTGCCATCAATTAGGCTGTGCATCTTGCAGTAAAGTGGTTGTACCTACACAATATATCATTATTTATGTAAAACAGATATGCATTCTTACTACATGAAGTGGTGTGTGTTTTGTGGGTGAATGTGTCTGTCTGGCAAATTGACCATAGGCACAGGCGAAGAGGAAAATCTTCAAATGTGATTTGAAGACACTTAAAAAGAAAGTGTGGTACAGGGATTGAGGCAGAAATAGCTTGAAGGGGCAGTAGAGGTATCAGGAATCCACAGAAATCCTGAGCGAGTCAAACAAAGGTACAACAGTGAACGAGGGAAACAAAAGGATAGATTATAGCTTTTCATATTATAAATATGATGTAGTCTGCATCGCCACCTGGCAAATCACCATTATGTCCCTACAATATATAATTTGCATAGATTTGTGTAAGAAAATGTCCTGCATTTATCAGATTATTTGTTACCTATGAACAACAACAATTCACATTTGTACAGCATCAATTCAATTCACTTAACAGTATATTCTGTGAAGCGTTTTGAGACGTTTTGAAGACGTAATAAGGCACAAGGATTAATATTACATCATGGCATCCTTCGCATAGCCTATAATCTTGGTGGGCTTCAAAGCATTTCGGTGGGACACTAAGTAAGGGAAAGGCAGCGGGGAGAGAGCTGGAGATAGATATGTTTCAAGAGGTAGGAATTGAGTCAGGACAAAGACGGATTGGGAAAGAGTGAGACAAATTGCGAGGTGGAGGGATTTGCAAAAGATAGGGTATAGGAATCTAATAATAATTACAGTACAATCCTTGATTGATATATCACCTTATTATGTTGTTGAGATGTTTCAAAAGAGTTTTGCAGGATATATTGTGAACTCGTATGATTGTGTTTATTTTGTGGACAAAGAACTGAAGGTTTAGCCACTGATGGTGATGCAGAGAGGGTGCAGCAAGCCATTGGAGACAGAAGATGTTGGCAGAAGACAAGGAGGATGGTTTCTAGACCGCGTGTAGAAAATGGTGGAAGCAAAGTTGAGTGGCCAGAACTTTGGCTACCAAGGGCAAGTTGGAGATGGGCCAATAATTGGAGAGTTTAGAGGGACTGGGGTACACCTTTTGATGGAGTGATTTTGAAGCAGAGCACTATGCCAGAAGAGAAGGAAAGGTTAATTTCTATAAAAGGGGACAGCTGGATAAAAGTACGAGAAGACATTTTTCGTCAGATTGGAATGTTTCTGACACAACTGGTTCCACGAGTTGATGCCCAAACCAACATTTACGATTGGACAAAGCACCATAATCTGTTAATGATGCTAAACAGAGCATTTTTTTAAAGTTTTGATACACTTAGCTTTTTTCTGCTCTTAACAGGATGGGTTATTATTTTCATAATTTTAATGCCAAACTGTGATTTCAAATTGCGTTCTCCACACCTGTTACATTTCGCGAACCCAAAGAAACAGGAAGTCAGTGTCACAGCGACCTACTCTGCATCAAATAATCCACGTTCACTTGTGACAGACCATCAGAGCCAGAGTCAGACATGGGGAGTGTTGTCTTCCTGTACCTGTCTGCCTTACACATTATTTCAACAGGTATATATGTTCATTCTATAGTTCGGTTATTCTATGAAATACTTGCAAACTTGTTTCCATGTGACATTTATCTTACATACTTACGTTTATTCCTCTTTTACTCATTTGTTTTCTCAATGGCTCACCACCTGAGAAGTCAGTGTTTGACTTTATTTTCTGACAGTTGATGGCGATTCTTCCGTGAAAGTGACTCAAATCCCCGACCATGTGGCTGCCATCAGAGGAACAAATGTTACCTTCCGCTGTATCTTCCCCTTCTCTCAAGACGGTTCAGAAGTGGAGGTGCAGTGGAATAAGAAGGGTGAGAGTGGCTATTTGGATACAAAGGAGGATAACAGGAAACTATTTGGTGTAAAAACTAAAGGAAGCAGCTTCTTCCAGTTCTTGAATGTGATTTCACAGGACTCTGGAGTCTATCGCTGTGTAGTGGTCCGTCAGGGATCAATAATCGGAACAGGATCTGGATCGCGATTAACTGTGTGCGGTGAGTGTGAATGAAGAGCGAAATTGGCATTTAGAAATTACATGAAAAGTAATAAATGCGGTGAATGCTATATCGTTATTTATATTGTTTGTACATTATAACTTTCACAATCTAGTTTTTAAAGTGCTTTGAGACATCTCGAAGATGTGATAAGGTGCTATTTTCAAATGCAATGATTATTTTATCACCACCGTTCGGCAGCGGTCAGCAGAAGCGAAATTCTATCTCAGAGCCGAAAGTACAACCAACTGAGCCACACTAACACAGTGTGCACACCTCTGCCAGGAATCCTCTATTGTTCGCGGGTTCAACCTATTGAACAGACATTTTTAAGTGATCATTTGCACCTGCCAATCATCAAAGTTAGTAATAATATGCAAGATAAAGATTATGAATAAATATTACTTGACAAAGCCACAATGTAGTTAAAGCAGGAGCAAGGCGATGCTGCTGTGAGAGGGATATTTGTGTATCTAAACAAACCTCCAATTGTACTCAGGAATCAGGAGTTTGCAAAGAAATGTATTGGATACAAATTAAAATAAAGTTTCTCCTGCTGATTGATCAAAATGAATACGATTCTCCTCCATTATCTTTTCTGCAGTTCCCCCAACTCCACTGAAGATTTTCTCTAGGAATTCACCTAAGCCTCAGACTCTTGTGTGTGAAACTGCTTTGTTTCACCCAAAGGAAATCACCTTCACTTGGTATAAAGATGGCACCGAAATTGTGCCAACACCAGAAATAAAGCTGGAAGAGTCAGGTTCCACTGAGAAGCAGAACTCAGAGGATCTCTATAAGGCCTCGAGCTCTATCAAAGTCACACAGTCTGGCCAGAATGGATCTGTTTATACCTGTCTGGTGTCTCACATCAGCCTCAAGACTTCAGCTATTGCCACCTTCGCTTTCCCAAAATCTAAAGCAGGTAAGATGCTAAAAGATTATTAAAAAGTCAACTGTTGTTAATTGAATTTTCATAGGGATGTTCAGTTGCATTGATTCATTAAGTAAATTGTCTGAAGCAATTTGAGACAACAATTATGTGATAATAATAATAATATTAATCCTTGCATTCGATATATCAGTCGCAGTATAAAATGCATGGATTATTATTAATGTTCAGCGGAAGAACGTCGGATCTCATCACTTGATGTCTGACAGCAATCGGGTCGAAGTTGGAGGTCGAGTGTGGAGGAAGATGGGAGAGTTGGGTTTCATCACTGTACATGTGAACATGCAATACATGTCTACAGTGATGTCGCCAAGTGGGATAGATAGTGAAGAGCAGAGGACCGAGGATAGAGCCAGGAGGAACATCCAATGTTCAGCAGCACCTACCTGTGGCTTGAGGGATGGAGTGTGACTGTTGTCCTGGGGAACCTGAGGGGATAGGAAGCGATGGCTGATATGATGGGAGACCAATGTGTTGAGAATGGTGGTGAGGGAGTTGTGGATGATGGTCATAAAATACATTGTATCTTTTGGTGTGAAGGTTTTGCTAAACCTAACGCATATTATATACGTATAATAACTTAACATAATATAGCATCATAAAGCGGTCTAATTTTCAAACCCTTTTTAACACAAGGCGTTTGATCACAAAATGCAATTCTATTCCACAATGTTCCCTCGTTTTATTAATAACAAGTGAGCACGTTTCATTGCTTGTGATGAGGTGTCACTGGGTACCGCCGTCTTGCTTTACAATTTATGGTTTGTATTTTGTGGGGAAAATATAATTCATAACTGATATGCATAACATTTATTTTCTACTGCAATGACTGGAACTATAAATCGTTGTGCTGCACAATGTTTCACCTCAGTTTGCACTGTTTCTCCAGACAGTAAAAATGTAACTCGATATTTATTGTGGGCTGGATGTGCAGCGGGTGGGTTCGCAGTTAAAAAGTCAACTATTGTGAATTGAACTTTCATAGCGATGTTTCGTTGCTTTGATTCATTAAGTAAATCATCTGAAGCCATTTGAGACAACAATAACGAGTTAATAATAATAATAATCGTTGCTTCCGATCTACAAGTCGCTGTATAAAATGCAAAGATTATTATTATTATTCAGCTGAAGGAAGTTAGAGCTCATCAAGGACTTGATGCCTGACAGCAATCGGGTCGAAGGTGGAGATTGAGTGTGGAGGAAGATGGGAGAGTTGGGTTTCATGGTTGTACATTTGAACATGTAATACATGTCTACAGCGATGTCGCCAAGTGGGAGCATATATAGATAGTGAAGAGCAGAGGATCGAGGATAGAGGAACATCCTGAGGAATATCCATTTTTCGGCAGCAACTGTGACTTGAGGGATGGAACGTGACTGTAGTCCTGGGGAACCTCAGGGGATAGGAAGCGATACCAGAGTCAATAGGAGCCAAGGGTACGGTGAATGGTGGTGAGCGGGTTGTGCAGGGTGGTGATAAAATGCATTATACTGTTTGAATGTGAAACATTTGACGTGAATCACCAAACGTTTTGTTAAACCTAACCACTAGTATCCAGGTGGAAACATCCTAAACCCACATTATTTTCAAAAAATCTTCATTTTAGCACAATGTACTTGATCACAAAATGTCTTTCCATCCCCTCATGTTCCCTCCTTTTATTAATAGCAAGTGAGTATGTTTCATCACTGTGATCAGATGTCAATGGGTACAGCCGAGCTATTTTACAAATCATGGATTTTATTTAGTGGGGGTTTCTCTGAATATCAATTGTCCATTTTGATAACCCATGTGTCACCCTCGTCTGTGTATTAAAATCAAAAACAATCATTAAAATAAAGGTGATCAGTTGTCATTAGCTACACCTATCTTAAGATACAAAATATCAAAGTGTTTTCAGTTTTGATCACCTTGTGATTTTCATTCTGAATTCTATAAAAATACAGACTGAGAATAGATATAATATTTAAACTGGTTATTGTGCTTAATACTTACATTAAAACAGTATTCATCAATTATGCACATCAATGTCTAAAGTTAACAATGCTTTCAAACATGTATATCCCTCCATAGCGCCGTAACCAGAATGTTTATCTAATATTGTATTCTATCCTGAATGCATTAATTGTGATTATCCCAGGTCACTGACAATCCAATGCAATGCGAGGGGACCTGGTTACGGTTCCCGGGCAGGGCGAAACGCTTGGCATCTGTTTACTGAGCGGTAAATAGGAACCAGATGTTAGTCGATTCATGGATTGTTTTTCAAGGGTTAATAATAACTTCAAAACATTTTTTAAAAAATAATAATAATAATTTACTCACTCAATCCACGATTGTTTGTAGGACACTGCTGTGCGCAATTGTGGTGTGAACGGGGAGGTTCTGCTTATATCTCTAATTACAGTGAAATCTCCTGTCTTCTTCAGAACAATCTCCTGCTTGAGGGACGCTATATAAATGCAGGTTGTTGTTGCTCTGAAATGGTGGCAGAATTTCAAATACAATCTCTCCAACATTTTCCAAATCCCGTAAAGCTATTACCTATCTTGCTTTTAAATATCCGACTTAAATCTACATTTAAGGCTCTTTATTTGAGTGGATTCCAAAATTCCACGTGAAGAGAAAGGTTCCACATCACTTCTGAGAGGTTTAGCCACAATGTTCAGGTTATGTCTCACTGATCACAAACTGTTCATTGCCCTAAACTGAAAGCATTATTCCGAATCGAAGACGTGAACACATTGTGAGTGATATGGGTGGGTTGTACCCGGAGATATCAAACTCACTTGGAATAAAGATGGCAGTGAAGTTAAAACGGGGATAAATTGTAATAAAGAAAGAATTCAAAGGGACTTTATGAAGTTTCGAGCTCTGTAGCCACAGAGAAGAGATACCGCCGGGACAGCGCGGGGCTGGTTATTGCTGTCTGACATCTCACGGCACCTCCGGACTCCCGGAGTCGCAGCGACACAGTTTGTAAACCCGACACGGGATTGTATGGCAGGAAACATCTTGTCTTTCTGTCTTTTGTTGTTAAACACCTTGTTACTGGAATTGTATTTACATTTATTTACGCTGCAATTGATAGTCATACAAGTTTCTCGCTGTAAACTCCATGTGTGTATATATCTATATATACAACACAATCAACTATAGATATATAGTCTTTGAATCGAAAAATAGCTCAAACCTGGGGATGTTCTTGTTTTGTTATTATATACTACATATGTCTCCTACAAAATGTTATTTTTTGTCATTTACTAACTTCTAAAGTGCAATAGTGCTGCGGGTTCCACACGCAATTAGGTTTGAAATCAGAAATTGGACTTTTGGATTGATGAATGTTCACAAATAAAACACAAATAATATTCGTTCATTAATCCGTTCCATTTACTCGGGACATTTTGGAGCCAATCTTCTGCTGCTTTTCCTTTATAACAACAATTACTGCACTTAAAATAAAACTCGTTTAGTTGTTTTATAGAGTTTTCCACACAATAGTAGATGTCCAACGCGATGAGTTTGATGACGATGGTGTCCACCTCTCGATGGCTCGGGTCGGTACAGGTGTTAAATCTGGTACATTTGAAGCTGAGCAAACAGTCTCAGGGGAACAGATACCATAACATATATAACCGTACATCTTTAACATCACTAATAAAGTGTTTGCTCGATGACATTCACAACAATTCGCTGCTATTTTCCAATCAATTGAATGCACAGTTTATAATATTCGTCCGTCTCATTGTAGCTTCCAATATCAATTGATGAAGAATGTGTGGATTTTCCCAATACAGTCGTTATTCAGTAAATTGCACGTAAACATTTTACAGTCCGATATTTGTTTTCCAGATTCCAGTCCAATGTTCAACAATATGATGATTTTTCGGTTTATTTTATGTTTCTTGGTAGTGATAGTGTTGACAGTCTTCATTGTTGACCACATTAGAATCAAACCACTTGAACGGTAAGACATTCTTTGTTTCAAAATAATACTGTTTCATTTACAATTATTGTATTGATATCGTAATCCATGAAATTATCAATGAACAGGAAACTAGTTCATGTTGTTCGCTGGTAACCAGGACATAGAATGGTTTAGAAGGGGGAAATTACGTTTTGTTGTGTTGGAGGATTCCGAAGTAATCAATGGTTATATAAATATCTCCTCCAAATTTCCAGGTGTCTGGAATAATATTGAACAATATATTCATGCAATCGCTTCCATATCTGTTACTTGGTTATCATATTAACGTTAATATCGTCATTCATAAGCTCTGCTTCCCTGAGGCTGAATATTCTTGAAGATAAGTTGAAAATATATCCAGTGTTATAATAAATGGATATTGTCTTAGAGACAAATGATGTTAGACAGTCACATGGAATACTTTGACTTCCGTCTCCAGCTCCGGTGCCCAACAAACAGAGCCAAGCGCTTTCAGACGTCCTTCTAACGTGAAAGGCGATCTAACTGCAAATCGTGTTATCTGAATAAGTTTAACAACCGTTTAGAATAAAACTAAACATTTTATGTTTGCAGTCTCGTGGTAAACATTTCAGATTGAAGCATCAATTTGTTTGTGTGAAAATCAGCAATTATTACAATTTATCATAGAATCGAAGGATTGGTGATATTCACAGTTGCACTACTTGTTTTGTTATAGATGAAATAAGGAAGAAAAGATTAGAGGTGATTGAATTGTGCTGATGGAAATAGGAAGAAACAGAAGATTGTAAATTATGAACTGGTATACTGTATCAAACATATTTGAGTGCCTTTGATTTATACCATTAAGGTGTTGGCATATACCTAGAATATCGTCTCTTACTTGTTTTTCACACGTTAAATA